GTCCTTCTGCAACGAATGAACGCATGTTAAAAAAAATACATATACCCCACTACTGGACTACGACCCCAGGAAAGGTTTATGAATGATCAAAATTTCACAAATTTGCCTCCAATGCAACAAAATTCGATTAACATAAAATTTTGAAAATCCACGATTTTTTTTAGAAAATTCGCAAACTTTTTGTTTTGTTTTGTTTTAAATGTTTACAAAGAGAAAATGTGCACAATTTATATAGAAGATGGGCGCGAAGCGCCCTGAAAGCCTAGTATTCGTATATTCGTATAGGGTAGTATTTTTATACGAATTCCCTTTTCAAGATTGAACAAATTATCCCTGCTGATGACTTGCACTTTCAATACGTCAAAGGTTAATCGTATTTACATTTTCATGCGTATTATCTAGAAAATGAAGAAAAAAATTGATCCAGTGCATGCCAATTTTACAAGTTTTCCAATTTTTAATTTTGAATAAAGATCTAATCTAAAAATGTATGCTTCTCAATAATGCATGCGTCTATGTAATGATCATAAATTCATTAAATAGCACTTTCATAGCTTTGGATATTTATAATGTCTTCATTTTTCCTTTCAACAATACAGAATATTCTAAAAAATATTTTCACATTTAATATTGTTAATTACACATAATTATCTTAAATATTTAAGTTTTTGTTTCGGTTTTCAGGGGACTCAAATCTATCTTCTGTGAAAATGCAAAAAATATTTTTTTGTAAGTTTGATATCAAATTATGCAATATTTTGACTCAAACAGGATATATGAGGTATTAACGGAAGAAAAAACCAAATTGTTAACAAAAATCTTACGGTTATTTATTCTTACGTTAATTAATATCTCTTATCTGCTGCTAGAGTCAACTTGTTGCATAATTTGATTGCAATTCGTCAAATATCGTTGATATTTGCGAGCCCTCTCAACACCAAGGAAAACTTAATATTTAAAATAATGGACAGAATTATGCACTCTGAACAACAAAAATAAATATGACAAAAATTAAATCTGAAAAATGTTGTGTTTTACATTCCTTTACAGAATTTGTAAGCACGAAAAGCATAGAAACATGTATTCGTTTGATAAAAATAATTAAGACAGATTTGACAATGCTAATTATACTATAATTAGAAAACCCTGAAGTATGATTTAGTAAGACAAATGTATAGATTTTGTTTAGTAATACGAAACAAATAATTCAGCAAAAAATTAAGACATAAGTTAAATACTGAGGTTTTAATTAACATGCAGGGCAAAAATTTAACTAATTTAAAAACTTATTTAACAAAAAAATCATTCGAATTGCAAGTATCTAACAATATTTTGAACAAATAACTTACCTGAACATCGGAAAAATATTACAATTTTCATCAAGCTAGATAGCTTTAATTTTGCTCATCAAAAATAATTGGGATAATTATACTTGGAAATCTTATAAAAAAAATTTGGACCCATAAAAGTGTGAAATATGAAGACGACAAACACGTAGACTCGAGTTATAATTTTTAATAGTAACACTGTTTAAATTTAATAGGGTTTGTTTGAACAAACTTTGATTGAAAAAACATATTTTAAGCCCACAAATAAAGATAGAAAAATCTGAAAACCTAACCTAACCTAACTTTTCTTGAAACTAATTCTTATAATGTGCAAAGAAAAAATGGCTGAGCAGTAATTTTTTAAATGCTAAAATTACTACATGAAAGAACAAGGGAGGAGTTTCTTTATTTCCCCAATGGAATAGGATTCTCCGGATCAAAATTCATAGTGTCCCCCCCCTCGCTCTCTCTCTCCCCCCCCCTCCGCTCTCTCTCTCTCTCTCTCTCTCTGAATTCACGTCTCAATATACTAAAGCACTCAGCAGTCCCTACTATACATTCCTACTGTAACGATCCACAGAATACATTTTCAAAGGTTACGCACATTTTAATGTGCTCATTTCTCAACTCGTTCGTAACATGTTGTACAACTAGAGTACATAAATGTACGCAAACTTAAAATTAAATTTTAGAATAGTATTGATTTAGCTAGCTGTTTATTGTTTCTAGAAGATTTACCTAAAAACCCGGTGCAAAAAATTAAAATCCGCATGTAAAAACATTAGCAATTATTCGCGAGTAGCCTTTGAAACAACCCGGAAATGTGATTTATCATGTAACACTTCTCGACTTAATAGATATATTTATTTTTTAAATAAATATAATACTTTTTTCATTAATTTTTAAATTTTTTAAATAGTTTTTTTCGTAATTACTTCAAATTGTTTAAATGATGGTGCTCATCAAATTCAATGTTAAAGAACAAAAAATCTAGAGAGTATGTTTGTCAAAATAATGTAAAAAAATCTAGAAATTGCAATATCTGCATCAACTTAGATTTGAAATGGATGAAAGTAATTATTTTTGTTACAGTAGAGATGATTGATTTGNGGGGGGGGGGGGGTACAAATTTTAAATTTATGAGGGACCGTGGGGGATGATGAGAGCTTTTTTTGGAGGATATGAAAGCAAACTTTACATAAGGTTCTATAAGTTTTAACCTCAAACAATTAGAGAAAAATCTGAAAAAAACATTACAGTTTTTAGAATATAAAAAAGCTTTTGATATAAGCCAGAAGAGTTGATGCTAATAAAAATTCCTTCAAAAATACTTTCATAAAAGAATTGAGTTATAATCAATTTTTTAAAAAATGTTTAATTCCTCTTTATTTGAAATCTGATAGCGTAATTCAAACTTAGATTATTTGTCATAACAGAATTTATAGTTTGAAATATCAGTCTACGACATCGGGTTGCAAAGATAAAGGGATTACAAAAATTGAGTTTGTGAGAAAAAAAAATTCCTTTTGGCTTCTATGAATATTTATATTGAAAAAAGTTAAAAATAATTTTGTAAAGTCGGCGCAAAAAATGGATTCAAAATTGTGTGCAAAAAAATCTTGAGATATATCTTATTGTAGATCCGTGGTTTTATTAAGGGACACCCTGTTGTTGCATAACCTCTGATCAATCATTTTCTTGTTGGTTTGAACTAAAATAATCTTAAACTTGAATTCTGTTGCATCATGATTTTGCATAATATTTGGTCTTGATAAACTGATATTTTTTATTCATTTTCATCTATTGGCATTTTTAAAAATAAATATAGATATTTGTGGGGGCGATCATACTATCTCTTTAATTTAACTGAATATAATTAAAATGTATGACTTCTATCATACTTTTTTAATTATTTACTAAACCGACTTCATTAGATATACTTATTAAATTCAACGAATTGATTTGAACAATAATAATTTCTATGTCTCTCAATAGAACAAAAACATATTTTAAAATTTAAAATTGGGCCTGAATCTTTTTTTTGGAAATGAGGATTTAAAATATTAACCCCTTTAATAACAAATATATTTTTTTGTTCCGGATATTTAGGATTTTATTACTATAAAAAAATTGAGTAACTTGAGAAAATGGCTAAAAAAGAATATAGGAGAAAAAAAAATCTTAGAATTTAACTAGAAGTATTTTGTGAATTTATTAAATTTGATTGAATCAATTTTTCGCTTCAAATATTATTTTCCTTTTGCCGCTTTTCGTTGAAAGAACTTTCATTATTTTTAACGAAAAAACGGCATTGTTTTAATGAAAATTTACAAAGGCAACAGCGAGGGTGACAAACGAACGACCAGATCCGTCCAGTAAATATGAAAACCAAAAGTTACAACTATCCGTCAACATTTTTTTAAGTTTTTAAGTGAAACTTTAGGATGGACATCTTTTTGCGAAAAACGGACATTTAACATTGAATCCTTCTTAGACATATTGTTAACGAACAAAAAAGAACGATGTTTAGCTTTGATCTTAATCGTTACTTTATGTATAAAATTAGGGTTTTTTGAGTTTCATATTTTTCTTGTTTTGTTTCTATGTAGCGCTTGTTTCATCATTATTTTGCAGATTTTAATATTTCAATGGAGTTATGTGCTATGCCTCGGTGGTTATAGCAATTTCACCTTAAAATTTAATTTGTAAAAATTCAGCCCCCCCCCTTCTATCCCCCCTCTCTATCACCCTCCATTTCTGAGACATCATTTTTTAAGATAATTTCCCAAATGTAAGAATTCGTTTTATTTTTGAAGTTTCCCCTTAAGATTCTTACTATTTTGACAATATAATTTCCGTCTTCCAATCCTCTATCCATGAAGTCTCAGCTTACCCTACAGGCTGTCCCAATACCACATAAAAATTAAATGACGACATAAAAATCGTCATCTATTTCCTAAAATTGATAAATGACAAAAAGTGGTTAAAATAATATTTTATGCATAATTTTTAATGACCATTGACAATGGGAATGGCAATGCCCGATTTAAGACGGAATCCTTAAATGTTTTGTTCGATCAAGAATCACATAGGTATCCACATTTATTTTTTTCTTTGTTTATTATCATTTAAGGTATCTCTGCAAATGTGACTTGAGAATTTTTTGCTTTTAAGTAATAGCGGAGAAATTAGAATTCAACATTTTTCGAGTCAAAAAACGCGAGGTTCTCTTCCAAGTTCCACATTTTTAATCAAATTAAGGTTGTAAGAGTACCTTTGTAAATCAGGCATTGCATTTTTAATCAGATTAAGGTTGTAAGAGTACCTTTGTAAATCAGGCATTGCATTTTTAATCAGATTAAGGTTGTAAGAGTACCTTTGTAAATCAGGCATTGCATTTTTAATCAGATTAAGGTTGTAAGAGTACCTTTGTATATCAGGCATTGCATTTTTTTGCATTGAGGGTCACTTGAAATAATCCTTTCAGTCAGTCCCTTTAATACATTTAAATCTGGATAAACATCTTTGGGACACATCAAGCATAGAACAAATTAATTCCCTTTTTTGGGACACCCTGTAGCACTTATGAACAATGCCACTTTTACAGTGTAAGTTGAAATTTCAAAAGTACATTTTTCTATTATATGATATTTTTATTTTCAGATTTTGAAACCAAGAAAAAATGGGAGATTTCTAAAAATTCTGCTATAGAGAGTGTGTTTTCCTCGTGTCTATAAAGTGAACACACTGGTGTTAAATGACTTACTTTCTTTGCATGTGTTATGCTTCGCTCAGATAGAAAAGTAAAGAAGTAAACAGTGAACAAAAATGTAGAAACGAAATTTTTTCAAAAAAGTGAACAGGAACACCTGATCTTAAACAAGAACAAGTACTAGGAAGATCTGATCTTGAACAGGAACAAGTACCAGGAAGATCTGATCTTGAACAGGAACATCTGATTCTGAACAGGAAAATCTTGAACATTATACAAAGACGACCGTGTGTGAAGAAACGTGTGAACAGATGATAAACTTGAACGGAGAACCTACTGTGACCCAACCTGACCCAGTAGGATATAATCAATCATTCAACAATACAGTGGTAACCAATATATACATGAATAGTTGTCGTCCTCATTCTTTCTTTTAATTTGAATCACACCGCTATTCGTATAGTGCCGTTTAAACTAGAATATATTCAGAGGAAACATTATCGGAGTTAAACAATCCTAGAAATACAGTAGGAACCAAAAAACTTTGGAATCGGAAGACGACATCATTTCAATATTAAAGGATATTTGATGTTTTAAAAAAGCAAATAGTTTTACTAGTAATTTGTTTAATCACTTATAACGTGAAATGGGTCTGTTTACATTGCACTATGCATGATGAAGACGGAAATTATTCTGCTTTATATTGTTAAAGACTAACCAGGGCACGGGCAGCCGTAGTACATTTGAATTTCCGAGCCGGGTCAACCTTTCCGGTCCCAGTTTGTATTGTACCGCACAGACATTGGGTTAATAAAGCAGACACTCAATAGGACTAGACAGTGCAACAAGTTTGACGCAGTCAGACTTTATGCTTCATTCATGTCGAATTTACTTTTACTAAAGGGGCAGAGGTGCGTGAGGGTGGGGGTTTGAAGGGAAAATATATTTCTTTATGCTGTAAACTAGTCACAGAATTTTGAACTTGTTCTAAAATGCCAAAAAAAAAAAAAATTTAGTAAGCTAGACACATGTATGGACATAATTTTATAATCGATATAATTATATAACTTAGTCTGTCTCTTGTCTTGAAGTTATCAGCTCTTTTTAACACAATTTTCTTGCACATATTACATAGTATAAAAGAAAGATTGATTTGAATTGAGGAAAGGTATAAGGGAAGGGGTTGGTGAGAGGAGAGAGAAGGGGGAAGGTAGAGGGGAGGGGTAAGGTAAGAAGGGAAGAGATTGGTTTATAGGAAGGGTAATTGGGGAAAGTAGAAAGGAAAGAAGTTGGTGTAGAAGAAAGGAAAGGAAGGGGGAATATAGAAGGGAAGAGGNTAAATTATCTGAAATCCACCCCATCCCTCCCCTCCCCCTCCCATATCCTTCTGGACTGAGACACGCCTCTATTTTTGCTTCTGTTAGAGATAAACTAGAAGATACTTGTTATCAGCCCGTTAAGACAGGGAGAGGAAAATGTACGGTAGGCCTGGGAAACACTTATTTGAAATTGAATCTTAAAAGATAAGAGTTTTTATGAATAATGCCCCTGCAAAATATCTTAAAGTATCACTGCAAACTTAAAACTGCGACTTTGTGACCTCGAAGCGCCTCGATCTTAGAATTTACGCACAAGACTATGAGACAAGCAAATTTATGCAGTTATTCGCGGCCCCTTTCCGATTAACAATTATAGCTTTTAACTGTTATTTAAAACTGGCCCAATTTTATTCATTTTAAAATTTTCCTGGATTATTTAAATTTAAATTTGGCCCGAGGTTCAGCCGTTTTTACGTTTATTGGATACAAACAGATGAATAAGCATACGGACAAGCAAAGTAAAGGAATAGGATAGTTTATCCAATAACCTTATTACGGGCTTCCAATCCATCAATACGCCTGTATATTTACAGTGTAACTACAGAGTGTTTTAAAATTAACACATTTCTTATCTTTTTCATCATAAAAAATAAAGGTTCCGTGAAGGGTATGAACAGATGAATACAGACAAGCAAAGTATAGGAATAGGATTGTATCCACAATATCCATACTAAATTGTATCATATAGGATTGTATCAACTGTATCATACTAAATTGTATCATATAGGATTGTATCAACTGTATCATACTAAATTGTATCATATAGGATTGTATCAACTGTATCATACTAAATTGTATCATATAGGATTGTATCAACTGTATCATACTAAATTGTATCATATAGGATTGTATCAACTGTATCATACTAAATTGTATCATATAGGATTGTATCAACTGTATCATACTAAATTGTATCATATAGGATTGTATCAACTGTATCATACTAAATTGTATCATATAGGATTGTATCAACTGTATCATACTAAATTGTATCATATAGGATTGTATCAACTGTATCATACTAAATTGTATCATATAGGATTGTATCAACTGTATCATACTAAATTGTATCATATAGGATTGTATCAACTGTATCATACTAAATTGTATCATATAGGATTGTATCAACTGTATCATACTAAATTGTGTCATATAGGATTGTATCAACTGTATCATACTAAATTGCATCATATAGGATTGTATCAGCTGTATCCTACTAAATTGTATCATGTAGGATTGTATCCACTGTATTCTAACTAAAGTGTAGCATATAGGATTGTATCAGCTGTATCATACTAAATTATATCATACAGGATGATATTAGCTGTATTCTACTTAACATCATATACTATTGTATCAGCTCTTTCCTACTAAACTGTTTCACATAGCATTGTATTAGCTGTATTCTTCAAAATTGTATCTTACAGGATTGTATGAGCTGTATCCTAGGAGCTAAGTATCAGTTGCTACAAGGATAAGAATATAAGTAAGATTTGTGAACAATAGTTGGCTTTATTGGGAAGATAGATATACCTCAGATAAAAGAGATAAAGTCTAGTATTGTATATACGGATATATATACGGATATATTGTACATACAGATATAGATATATATTCGGATATATTGTATAGAAAGATATAGATTTATATTCGGATATACATACGGATATTTAGATATATATTCGGATACATATATGGATATATTATATTTACAGATATAGATATATATTCGGATATATATACGGATATATTTTATATATGGATATAGATATATATTCGGATATATATATGGATATATTATATATACAGATAAAGATATATATTCGGATATATATTCGGATATATTTTATATACGGATATATTTTATATATGGATATAGATATATATTCGGTTATATATTCGGATATATATACGGATAAATTGTATATACGGATATAAAAGCTAGGCAAAAAAAAGATACTTCATGAAATTCAGATATACTCCTTTTTGAGAATTTAACTATTTTTTCCTCTATCTTTGGAGCTTTTTAAATATTTTCTCATGGGACAATTAATTTTATATGTTTCTGTTATATTTCATAAATTAATAATTACTTACTTATTTGCGCTCTGCTTCCAGAGCAATTCGCGCCCATCTTCGGTTTTAGCTTGTTTTTGCACTTTTATCGGTTTTTTTTCGTGGATTTTTAAAATTTTTTTGATCCAATTTTACACTTCCCCTGATGAGGGAAGTGTGAGTTGCCTAAACAACTTTGGGGTCGATCGGTTCAGCCGTCTTGACGTTTATTAGATACAAACAAACAAACACCTAAACAGACAAGCAAAGTATAAATATAGACAATAAAAGGGATCAAAGGATTTTCGGATAAACACCCTTTTTGTTTAATGTCTAGCCTTCTTTGATTGTACGTATAAGTTCACATTTGTCAAATTCAATCTTAATTTAAACTCAAAATAAAATTTAACATAAGTATTTGATTTAAAAAAATATCTAAAGATTGATTTGAATATTTTAAAATAAACATTTGAAAGATGGTTCAAATATTTTGAAATAAATATTTGAATAAAAGAATAAGACCGTATCGAATGCCTGAAGGCAAGCATATGGCTTTATTCACTGCCTAACATTGCATGCAATTAGAGCGTATTTTTAATTGGTCCAAATTTCCCCACCATTCCCACAGATTTATCAATGTCCGAAAAACATTCCATATTAAACATTTCTCTTTATATATTTTCCATTTATAAAGTAGTAATCTTTGTTTGGTTGACTGTGGAATTCGGCCGAACCACCGGAATGTTCTCGGCTAGTTTGGTATTAACATTCTAACTTTAAGGAGAAAATAGTTAAAAACGTCTCACACCGAAGAACGCAGCGTCCATACAAATTCGGAAAGATGCAACATTCATCTAGGATCGTAAACAAATCAATTTAATTCCAAACAAATCATTTAGATCTGCAAACAATAATCATCGATTATTTTTCGACGCATTCTAATATAGTTAATATTTCATAATATTTTTGATTTTTTTTTTTTTAATAATGTCTCACACCGAAGAACGCAGCGTCCATACAAATTCGGAAAGATGCAACATTCATCTAGGATCGTAAACAAATCAATTTAATTCCAAACAAATCACTTAGATCTGCAAACAATAATCATCGATTATTTTTCGACGCATTCTAATATAGTTAATATTTCATAATATTTTTGATTTTTTTTTTTTAATAATTTTCGAACATTCCTGGAAAATATGAAAATGTCGTCTTCATTATCAAAAATCCTCGAAACAGAAATAAATGTTTTCAAAAGTAACTCTCAGGTCATGAAAAGTACAAAATATTAATAGAGTTATTGCGAAGTCCCAAAATGCGACCTGACAAATTTGCTTTTCTCATCCTTGTATACATAACATCATAACTATAGAAGCTACGCACACAAATCTGCCCCTATAGTAAAAGTAAATTCAACCTATATGAAGCATAAAGTCTGACCGCGTCAACCTTGTTGGACCGGCTAGTCCTGTCCATAGAGATAGGTATAATACAAACTGGGATCGTGAAGGTTGACCCGGCTCGGAAATTCAAATGTACTACGGCTGCCCGTGTACGAAGTCTTAAAATCATACCACTGGCAATTTCGTTAACAATCCCTTTAAGGAGAAGTTTTTATTCCTGCTTGAGTTGAGAATGTTGGGGAATATATCGAAATGTTGTCACATGTACAGGGTTCTTGTATATATAGAAAACATGCTCTTATCTGACCGTGTGTCTATATGCATATCCTAGTATTACTATCTATCCTGTCTATCTGTATCTATCTAAATGCATATCTACCATATCTACTGTCTATCTGTGTCATACATAACATGCAATACTGGACACACACACACAATACTATTATTATTATTTTTCCCTCCCCCTCCTCCTCCCGTCCTTTTAACTATATCCCCCTCCATTATCCTCTTTTTATAAAGAGTATACCTCTAACTAATGTTTTACTCGAACAATCTACAAATCCGCAACTATCAATTCCCATCTATCCATACCCTTCCCATAATCCCATCTATTCCTACCCTTCCCATAATCCCATCCATTCCTACCGTTCCCATAATCCCATCCATTCCTACCTTTCCCATAATCCCATCCGTTTCTACATTTTCAATAATTCCATCCATATCTACCCTTCACATAATCCCATCCATTCTTGCCCTTCACATAATTCCTTTCATTTCTACACTTCCCATACTTCTATCCATACCTTCCCATACTCCTATCCATCACTTCCCTTCCCATAATTCCATTCATCCTTTCCCATAATCCCATCCATTCCTACCCTTCTCATAATCCCATACATTCCTACCCTTCCCATAATCCCATCTATTCCTACCCTTCCCATACTCCTAACCATCCCTACCCTTCCCATAATCCCATCGTTTCCTACCCTTCTCATACTCCTATCCGTCCCTACCCTTCCCATAATTCTATCCATTCCTACCCTTCCCAAACTCCTATACATTTCTACCCTTCCCATACTCCTATCCCTGCCCTTCCCATAATCTCATCACCTTCTACTCTTCTCATAATCCTATCCAGTCCCACCCTTTTCATAGTCCAATCCATCCCTACCCTTCTCATAATTCTATCCCTGCCATTCCCATAATCCCATAAGTTTCTACCCTTCCCATATTCCAATTCATCCTTACTCTTCCCATACTCCTATCCATTCCTACCCTTCCCATGCTTTCATATATTCCACCAACCCTTCTAATTTTCCGATACTTCTCTATCCTTCACATAATCCTATCCCTACCCTTGTCATACTCTCATCTGTCCCTACCCTTCCCTTACTCCAATCCATCCCTACCCTTGTCATACTCTCATCTGTCCCTACCCTTCCCTTACTCCAATCCATCCCTACCCTTTTCATACTCTCATCTGTCCCTACCCTTCCCTTACTCCTATCCATCCCTACCCTTGTCATACTCTCATCTGTCCCTACCCTTCCCATAATACTATCCATTCCTACCCTTCCCATAATCACGTCTATTCCTACCCTTCCCATAATCCCATTCATTCCTACCCTTCCTATACTTCTATCTATTCCTACCCTTCCAATACTCCTCTCCATCCAGCTACCCATCCCAAACTCCTATCTATCCATACCCTTTCCATACTCCCATCCATACCTACCCTTCCCATACTCCAACCCCTTCCCTTCCCAAAATCCCATCCCTACTCTTCCCATAATCCCATCTATTCATACCTGCCGTTCCCCTAATTCAATCGATTTTTGGAATTGCAATAAAAAATAATTCTTTTTCAAACAGTTCAACTGAATTTATGTTAATTCAAATTATATGAATTTGAAATATTTAATGAAAATGAATTAAAACTGATAAAACGATATATTTTCGCATCAAAACCTTCTCTCAACCTCATCTCAGCGGCTCCAGGTTCATTTGTCAAGTCTCTCTCTAGGATACTGTTGGATACTGTTGGATACTGTATAGGATAATAGATATGAAACCAGCTCCTGGTATTCACTCATGTTAGTGTGTGTCTAGCAAGATAAATGTCTATTTGTCTGTCTATATTAATGTCTGAATACCAATATTGTCATAAAATATAATAGATTTTTGATAATTTTTTTTTTAATATTGCAAGCTGAATAAGTTCTACATTTTTTGCATCAAGTTTATCTTTCTTTCTATTTAGGCTCTTCATTTAAAATTGTTATCTTAAACTGAGTACTCTCAACAAACCATAGTTTTCAAACTCCTATATCTTTGCACCTGATGGTGTACACATTTGAAATTTCCAACTTTGATAATCTCATTTTAAAAAAAATCATAACATATCAAAAGGTCTCCTAAGTCATGTTTTACAAATATAGGGATTAGAAAATCAGAGTTTGAGGAGAGTAATCAAAATGTTTTTGTTAAAATATTTGCAAATATGAGTTCAATGGTTGATGAATAAAGTGGAAAGATGGTAGAGAGGAAGAGTACAGGAGAATGAGTTTAATTGACGATGCTTCAAATCAAACAAGGTAATTTTTCAAATAAATTCCTCCTTGAGATCAGAACTCGGGTTCAACCATTGATCTCGTATTCATTCATTCATGGATTAATCTAATTCCTCTTTGATATCTAATTTGTTCAAAATCGCCTTGCCACCTATCTATATATTGCCACCTATCCTTATATTGCTACCTATTGCCATCTATCTATATATTGCCACATAATGCCACCTATTGCCAAATATCTATATATTGCCACCTATTTATATATTGCCACCTATTGCCATTGATCCATATATTGCCATATATTGCCACCTATTGCCACCTATCTATATATTGCCACCTATTGTCACCTATTGCCACCTATCTAAATATTGCCACCTATTGCCACCTATCTATATATTGCCACCTATTTAAATATTGCCACCTATTGCCACCTATCTATAAATAGTTTTAGTTAATCTATGTGTTTTAAAGGGACTGTAAGTGTAATTTCAAGTAACCCTTCATGTAAAGATGACACTGTTCGATTTACAACTATACCCTTGAACCCCTTGCCTGATCAATAATGTGGAAGATATTGTCGTTATTTTAGGTCTTAGGTCAAAAATGTAAATAATCAGTTTTCAAAACTATAAACTTTGATTTCTATAATTCATAATTTATCAAAAGCTGGTCGCCGTTATTAATTAGGCTTTGTCATTTTTGCACAGAGGTTCACTTGCAAGAACGCGCACAGAGGGTTTTACAATTTTCAATTCAATAAGATATAATTTTAATTTAGGAGTAAACAGGAGCAATGGACGGAAGCAAAAACTGAAGATTGGGAGGGAAAATTGGATTGGGAGAGGGAGGGGAAGGGAGTTGAAGGTTGGGAAGAGAAGGGAGGAGAAGGTTGGGAAAGAGGAGGAGAAGGAGAAGGAATATATAGTACAGATCCAAACCTTCAAGAATTTATTCCTCATTCTCTAGAAGATAATACTCCACCTCCAGGTACTAGGATAATACTCCTCCTCCAGGTACTAGGACACTGTCAACTAGGCAGAGGGAGAAGGTCCAATTTTTGCAATATTACTGGTAAGACTTCGTGACCTCGTAGTTCCTCTAATTTAGTTTTTAAGCACAATACGCAAATTTGTTCGGTTACTTATTGGAAATTTAAAACTACCAGACTGCTCCTCATTCCAATTTTTTTTTTTTTGGGGGGGGGGGCTTTCAAATATATACTCCTACCTCTAAACAATGAATCCTGCAGGTTACATGGGACATATAGAGATGGGGATGTCTCCGCTAGCAATGATGAGTATGGCAGAGCAGTATCCCTGGATGAAGGAGAAGAAACCAGCAAGAAAACCACAAATTCCAGGTAAAGTTGGATCACTGAAAGGGACTGTTCTCTTTTTGGGTAATTCAAGAGTGAACAAATAGAGCTTATTAGCTAATTATTGGCTTTAGTCTTACTTTTAAAGATAACTAGGTGTAGAGATAGGCAAAGTTTTTTTTAACGAACGAAATTTTTTGTAAAAAAGGGTGTCGTTCACATCACGTCGTAACGAGCGATGGACGAACGAAATGAATCGCTCAGAGAAATAAAAAACTATCGCTGATTAAAAACGAACGAAAAACAAAAACAAACGAGTTAAAATCGTTCGACCGATCCTGATCGTGTTTTTTTACTGAACTAATGAATTTTCGGAAGGATTTTGAAAAAATAATAGTTTTTATTTATTATATTATGAAGATTAGTAGCGATCAAAAGCACTTGTTTTTTCGCCGCAAGCTTATACCCCCTTTCATTTTTCGCGAACACTCCCTTTAAGAATTGGTCGGACTTGGTTTAAATTATCATTAGAGACTTTTTGCAACCTCGGAGTTTATCTAGTTTTGATTTTACGCCCAAGCATGAGAAAGGCATATTTTCTGGTTGTTTTCTTGTAGGATTTCAAAACTTTTTACTTTTTCAATTGTTTATCATCATGTAAGACTTTAACCCCACGTAAAGTTTATCCTTACTGGCATGAGAAAGATAGATAGATAGATAGATATACAGGATAAATAGATAGATAGATAGATAGATAGATAGATATAAAAGAATTTTTGTTGTGTCTCCGTCAAATATTGAAAAATCTAGAACAAAATTGATGATTGGTTGATTGACTGAGTTCTTTATAAAATACATTGCTGCGTGAACAAAATACCCAGTAGAAGTGACTAACCTCCCTTTATTTCGCAAATGGTTTTGGGAATATTGATTAAATTTGTAAAAATGAGATAAAAAAATTTAAAAATGCCGTTTCATTGTGTCGTTAAAAGTGGTCTTCCTTGTACAATATATATATGTTTTATTATTTGAAATTTTGTTAATATATCATTTAAAAAATTTAAAGCTGTATGTCTATCTATTCATTTCTAAATCTATTTGTTTATCCGTATATATATCTCTTTGAATCTATCAGTCTGTCTGTAGTAAATACCCTACTCCATAAACTGCTCTTGAACCCATAACTATCCAGGTACAATTCAGTTTTACTTTCACTTAGCTATCAATGTCTAGACCTGGACACAATCAGGTCAGCTATCATTGTCAACCAGGACACTAGCTCTTAATCGATGAATGCCAATCCAATGGGCGCGATCAGCTATCAATGTTTACTCGGACACAACTACGTAACTATCAATGCCTCAACTAGGACACAATCTTGAGATATCAAAGCCTCAATTAGGACACAATCTTGTAAACTGTCAATGTCTCAACTAGGAAACGATTTTGAGATATCAATGCTTTAATTGGGCCATGATCTTCAACTAATTCTTGTTAATACAAGGACACAATTACTCTCTTGCAGTGACCAAAGCGGAGTCTCTATATCAACTGATGTATTTGAGGTTTATATGTTACGTCGTTATCTATATCACATGATCAAGACAGTCATGTTACATATTTACAGCACAGTAAAAATAGGCGCAATTAAGATGTACATAATTATATATATCACATGATTAAGCTAATCATGCTATGTATTCCTTTGAAGCGCAGTACAAAGGAATGATGGGTTTTATGTAGAAGTTTACAAATGTAGATAGTCAATAATGTACAACGTAATTCAGGTTTACAGAATATCATGTTATCTGATATATATATTACATGTCTATGCATCTTTAAATCTATTCGTATATCTATGCATATTTAAATCTATCTGCTTGTTTTTCTATATATCTTTAAATCTATCTGCTCATCTATCTATTTCTATCTGTCTACCTATGTATTTTCCTATACTAAGGAATGTTGAGGTTTTTACTTGTAAGATAATAATAGTTCTATGTGTTAAATTCTTACTTCTACTTTGATGTATCGAAATCCAGTATATATCGATTTTAGATAGAAGGACTAACTGCTCTGGGGGCAGGTACTATATGAAGGGGGGGGGGAGCGTTGATTGAGACCATTATTTTAGTTATCTACGTAATTAATTTTGAAAGTTCGGTGGTGTTTTTTTCTGTATTTTTATAGAAAATACAATTGAAAATAATCAGATTAAAAAACAACAAAGATGATTCTCGATCAGTAAAAGGTTTCAAGGGTAAATCAGTCATCGAGGGTCACTTAAAATATCTGTTTTAGTGCTTGAAATAAAGCAGAGTGAAGGTTAAAAAACACATGTATTTTGACGCTGTGAAAAAGTCCTTTTATAATAGAAAGTAAGCTCACAGTTGAACAATGTTCTGGTTTTGACATGTAAAAAACCGTCCTCCACGTAAGATTGAAACCTGAAATGTTTTCAATCGTTTACTTTTCTCATACTTATGTTTGAAATCAAAACTAGAGCAGCTACAAGGTCACAAAGTCGTACCGTACCAGTAATGTTGCATAAAGGAATTGAGTTTTTGTCACAAACTGTGATTTTCTTATTCCTATATCTTTGCATTTCAATGTCAGGGGCCTTAGATATTTCAAACTATGAATTATTTTAGATCAAATAATAATAGTTTGAAATATCAAAGGTTAACACCATCAGTTTGCAAAGATATAGCGATTTGAAAATCAGATTTGTAGCTAAAACTCAGTTCTTTTAACCTTTTTCTGCTGTCTATATTTTCTGTGAAAAAATAAACTTTATTAAAGTTTTCGTCCAAACCATCAATCTATCGTCAATTTGACATTTGGAACAATTTGACAAACAAATTACTTGGTAAAAACTTCTGCAATTCGCAAATCAATACTCGGTAAAGGTCCGTGCGGAATGTTTGCAACATTTTAAAACTCTAAAACAAAATTCCACATGTTTATTCACACACACCCCATCCCGACCCACTCCTTATTTTTTCTTAAAACATGCAGAAAAACTAAGTATTTCAAGTTGAAATTAAACTTGTGTATTTTCTTCCACATCTATGACTTTTTTTAGTTTTCTGTGCAGCTAAGTTCTCTTTTTATTCATGTGTTTGTTTTCACTTGTTTTTGTTAAGGAGATATGTCAGGCTGGCCTAAGGAGAGAAAAAGACACCCTTCCAATTCATGTAAATATTTTAGAAATATAAATTTAAAAGTTTTGATTAGAAATAATCTACAGTTAAACTTGAAAACTTTGTAATGCGCGTTAAAAACGAACAACCAATAAGAAGACAGGAAAGATTTCGGCAAATCACAGTACAGAGATTACGTATTAACATATTGTCCATCTTCCAAGAAGAATGCATATGTAAAAAATACAATTCAGATTCAAGGTTATAATGCAAGGAAAGTTAATTCCAGTTGCGTATATTCTGCGTACATTTTGAAACCAGTTCTCTCTGGGCGGAATTTGTAAACAAGAACACTGTTCATTTAGAATTCGAGGAGGATAAAAGCATTGAATTTTGAAAATTTTGATAATTCACATAATAGTTTCCTTTGACCAGAATATTTCATTGATTTTTTATGTGAAGATGGATCCAATGTCAGGCTGAGACATCCGTCTTGTGTTTACATTGCCAGTAACCAGTAACATTGACAGTACACTGCAGTAAAAAAATATGCGTAAAATAACTTTCCTTGCATTATAACCTTGAACAGATTAATATTTTGCTATTATAGTTGGTGAGATAAATAATCTGAGGTCTTAACTTGTGAATTTTGGGATCAAGCATTTATCCGAATCTTATGTAGAGTTTACGGATTAAATCAATTGAGGACCGGATTAAGAACTTATCCCTCAACTTAAAAAGTTTTTGAAGTGAATATCAAGTGTGGCGGCACATTATTAAGAGATTTTAAAATCAAAAGTTTTCATGCTCAATAATACTGCCATTTTTTTGCCTTTAAAGTTATTAAGAATTAAAATTTTTATTGATTGGTTAAACCCAAAATTGTCATATCTCCGGTAATTATGTAAAGACATTTTGTTTTTTTGAAATGACAGGATCAGAGCTATTTCATAAAACTTTAGAGTAATATTTATATTTTAGTTGCCGACGGCGGAATAACACTGTATATAGTAACTTTAGTAATATTTATTTTTTAGTTGCCGACGGCGGAATAACACTGTATATAGTAACTTTAGTAATATTTATTTTTTAGTTGCCGACGGCGGAATGCCAAGGAGATTGCGTACAGCCTACACTAATACCCAACTACTAGAATTAGAAAAAGAATTTCATTTTAATAAATATTTGTGCAGGTATTATATATCATGTTTTTTAATAAAAAAAATATAATGACGAAGAAATTGTTTTTATATTTTATCCTAATTCATCTACATAAAAATGTATAACACAAAGTTAGATCTAAGCCGCCCAAAGTTCAGAAAATCAGTATATTGTTATGATCAATGCCGCGTTAACATTACTTTTTTTCAGACCTCGAAGAATCGAAATAGCAGCAGCCCTTGACCTTACAGAAAGACAAGTCAAGGAAACATATAAACATGTTTGTCCCCCCAGCCTGCTTGGCTCTGATCCGTATCTATCTATCTATATCAAAGTGATGATGGGTCAGCTGGCCTGAAATTCTTGTCACTTTTTGCGCGCAAATACGTTAAAATTCGTTCCTAGGCTTGACATCAGGAGAAAAGAAAAATTCATAAACGTTTAAAACTGAAGTTGACCGTTTTGAGAGATTTTCTGAAGTTAGGTTCACTTTTTTTAAATCTAATAACATAATTCCAATAAACATGGGAATTAAGTGACAAATTCGAAATTGTCTTTTTAAATAAATTCTTTGATTTAGTATAGTGATACCTACTGAGAAAGCTGTAATCCGTAAAATTTTCGTCTGTTATGTTGACAATTTGTTTGTTTGTGTTTTGACTGTTTTGACTTCATACGGTTTTATTTAGTAAAACAAGAAAATTACAGTTTACAAACAGAGCAAACTTATCCGTCTTTACTGTTCATCTTGCAGAGATATTACAGATATATCTTTTACATCCATTTACCGTTTTCATTCAATAAACTCTAGTATACATAATAATGTTATGGCTTTTGAAATCAGGTAATACAATGCAATTTCATAACAAAGACGATGTCTAATTCGTCACTGAATTCCCATGCTTATTGGGACACCCTGTAGATAGATGAAACAAAATATGATTTCTATATCTTCATGTTTATCTGTTAAACCTCAGGTTTGGTTTCAAAATCGCCGAATGAAACACAAACGACAGACGGTAACCAAAGACGACATCGATATCAAAGATACTAAATCAAAAAGTTCAGGTTTGATAAGATTTTCATTGGTTTGCATTGTTCATAGACATGGTCAGGTCAAATGTAAATTGTCAATGTCTATGTCTACGACCATGTGTATGGCTTGCTGACCCTAGTATTGATCTCTATCAATTGTAGAATGTGGTGATCTACCCCCTAGTATTGATCTCTATCTATTGTAGAATGTGGTGATCTACCCCCTAGTATTGTAGAATGTGGTGATCTACCCCCTAGTATTGATCTCTATCTATTGTAGAATGTGGTGATCTACCCCCTGGTGCTCGTGAGAGGATCAAGGATGAACTAGGAGACTCAGATAATGTTAAGAGAGAGGATGTTAGTGATCAGGTATCACTTGCTGAAAAACTCCTGTTCATTGCAAGTACCGTACCGACTTTTAAGCAGCTAGAGCATGTTGTACTGGAGTTAGTAAAAAGTAAAAGATAATCTCGTTTGCAAATTTTATATTCAATGTTAGGTTACAGTTTATTACAGTTTAGTTTACAGTTTATTACAGTTTAGTTTACAGTTTACTACAGTTTCGTTTACAGTTCATTACAGTTTAGTTTACAGTTTATCACAGTTTAGTTTACAGTTTATTACAGTTTAGTTTACAGTTTATAATAGTTTAGTTTACAGTTTATTACAGTTTAGTTTACAGTTTGTTACAGTTTAGTTTACTGATTATTACAGTTTAGTTTACAGTTTGTTACAGTTTAGTTTACTGATTATTACAGTTTAGTTTACAATTTATTTCAATCTTATTAATAATGTTCACCATTAGCAACAACACACTTTTGGGCCCATGATCTTGGGACCTTGGGAGACAGCAGGGTCTAGGGGAGCTATTTCTATCCTGATATTGACATCAAGTTCGTATATTGAATGAGGCTCTGGGATGTAGGAGCCTTTAATATTGCTGTTGTTAGATCTACAAGCCTAAAATTGGAACCTGTACTTAGATATCAAAAATGGTCCCAATTTTAAAAATTTTATGAAGTGTATGTAGATAAAGATAATAGTATTAAAGGGACCGTTTACTTATTTGGGTAATTTGTGGGTAAACTAAATAGCCTATTAGCTATTCATTGGTATTAGTCTTAGTTTTCAAAGACAACTGTGGCCTGAAAATAAGCCGATTTTTCATTTAAAGGGTTTGGAATACGATTTATGAAAGTATATCCAAATATCATTGTATAAGTTTATTTAATAATTCTTAAGAAACTGCTTTTTATTTTTATTTAAAGGTAAATTAATAGCCCTGAAATAGGATAAACAGCATTTATATATTAAGCTTGTTTTTCCGCGGCATTTAATTTTAAATATGTTGAGAATACGACATTATAAAAACTCTTGCTATGTATACATATATCTAGGATATAGACAGAGAGATTCAAGTTTCATACTATTTTTATTGTGCCCTGCAAGGCAGCTCGTTATTAAAGGCAAACACTATTTTTAAGTAGGGGTTCAGTTCAGTATTTCGATAATTATTGAAAATTTCAGGAGAAAAAAAAACTTTTTAACTTAAAATCTTATTTTGAATAATTTTAGGAAGGAATGGATTCTGTGAGTTCTCTTGTAGAAAGTGAGTGCGGGGGTACACCAGGGGATACTCCTGGCACCACCAGGGGTACACCAGGGGGGACACCTGGGGATACACCAGGCACCACCAGAGGGACACCAGCTCCTTCAGAGAGGTAATCTAATCTGTGCATGCCATCAACTATTCGGAACGTTTCCCCCTTTTTTTTAATGGGAATTTTTTGATCGTAGAATTGAAAAAGTCAAATAAAATGATGATGAAAATCCCATTAAAGGGACTATCCATGTTTTTAATTAGTCTTAAATTTGAAGAGGTACAAGCCCGATTCACAACGGTACCAACCATGATGCTTGTTCTTCTGGTTAACAATTCACCATTTTTTTCCGTGGTTTCTTTATCAAAGCGACTTGAAAATGGTGTTAGGTACGTTCCCAAATGCATTTCTTCAAGGGTGACTTCCCAAGTATCAATTTTCCAAGTGGCAATTTCCCAAATGTGCAATTTCCCAAGCGGCAACTTCCCAAAGGTTAGGTTAGGCCCTTTGAGGCACCACAGGCTGCAAGAGGGGCTGATCACTGCTGCTAGGATGGGTTAGGGATCTTGCGTCGCGGCTAGAACAGGCTGGGGGCCGTGGGCTGCAGCTAAGACAGACTTGGCAAGTTGTTGCTCGGGAAATTACACATTTGGGAAGTTGCCACTTGGGAAAATACCCTTGGGAAGTTGCCGCTTGGGAAAGTACCTTACATCTTAAAAATATGTGCACCAGAGGCAAAGAATGTTAGAATTTAACACTTTTCCAGATATTTTCCAGATGGAAGATTTTCCAAATAGAAGATAGAAGAACAACCATATTTTCCAAATTGTTGGTCAAATTAAGCGTTATAAAGGGTATGGTTGTGGACTGAACATGCAATTCTTTAAATTACGTCATCTTAACTTTTAAATTACTGTATTTTTAACCTTCACTTGCACCTTAATGTAAGAGAAATTGTAGCTCTAATTCTCTTATATTATAATGTATTTTTATTGTTAAATAACTGAAATTTTTTTAATAAGTTTTGATTCACATTGTTTAAGTTTAATCCTTGTTAATTTAATTTCTATTTGATGTTTAGTACTGCAGATTCAGATACTAGGCTGACAGATTTATCATCTAGTATTAGGTAATTTATAATTTCAATTGTGTTGATCGAGTTTTATTGATTGATTGATTATTGAAATGTATTGATTAATTATCATTGTTCAACAAAAAATTTCAACTAGACCGTTTGTTGTTTACAATAAACAATATTTTTTATGAATCATTTATCAGTTTATAATCAATCATTCTTAATTATCAAATTAGTGGTTTTTATAAGGATATTAAATTATGATGAAGTGAAATGCAAAAAGTTTAAAATGTTGCTTTCCTTGCAGGTGTGATACACCTAACAACAGTTCAAAGCTCACAGGGATATAGCAACATTAATAAAAAAAAAACACTAAATTCAAAACACTGAAAACTGAACTGAACTCTGAACTGAATTCTGAACTGAAATCTGAATTGAACACTGAACTGAACTTTGAACTGAACTCTGAACTGTACTCTGAACTGAATTCTGAACTAAACTCTGATTTGAACTCTGAACCGAACTCTGAACTGAACTCTGAACTGAACACTGAACTAAACTTTTAACTGAATTTTAAACGAAATTCTGAACTGAACTCTGAACTTAACTATGAACTGAACTAACTTTTAACTGAACTTTGAACGAAATTCTGAACTGAACTCTGAACTTAACTCTGAACTGCACTCTAAACTGAACTCTGAACTGAACAATAAACTGAACTAAAAAGAATAAACATTACACTGAAATTTTGATAAATTAACTGAAAGTGTTAACAGCAGTCCACCAAAACTCTTTATGTACACGTTGCTATGTACAACCAGGATTACAGTATAGCTGTGAAAGCAGTCTAAGTCCAAAAGTTCGGAAACCTAGTCATCTAGTTAAACCAAACCAAACCTCGGGGACCAATCTAACTCCAGGTATTATTAGACCTTTAGTTTATTATTTTTATCATTAGTATTATTATTATTTTATTATTGTTATCATTTTATTTTTATTATTATAATTATTTTTTTAATTAGTATCATTCTAACTAGTATTCTAATTATTATAACTATTATTATTATTATTATCATTAACAATCGATATAAAATCAATATCGGCTGTAATTATTGATCAGTAATCGATCAACTGATTCTCGTATAGCGGCAAACATTTGTAAAATAGTGAGGCCAACCAGAGGCTAAACATTGATTATTTAGAACCTAGCAGTTCATACCGGTTTGGTTTGGTTTTAATTGGATGTTTGGTTTGGTTTGGTTTAGTTTTGGTTTGGTTTAGTTTGGTTTAGTTTGGTTTAATTTGGTTTGGTTTGGTTTGGTTTGGTTTGATTTGGGATGGTTTGGTTTGCTAAACTGATGTTGAATGCTGGCAAGCTTTCCCATTGTTTTATTTTCAATAGGCCGCCATTGTTCTAGCTTTTTACAGTGTAGAATCTTTTTATTTGTACAATGTACATCTATTTCTATATAAACATATCTTTACACTTCACAACATTCTTATATTTACTCATCGATTAATTTTCTTTTATTTCACTCCGACAAGGCTGCCGTTTTATTAAACATGATGGTGTCATTCTTACCCGGTCTTTATAGTCAAGGTTTCCCATTCTTAAAGGGACTGTAGGTGTTGTTTCAAGTGACCCTCCTATTGTAGATTAGTGTTTCCGATTCAAAACAGTACCCTTTAAACCTTAGATTAAGTTTGTCGGAATTATCCTCATTAATCTACAGAAATTCTTTTAATTGTTGAACATTTTGTTAAATGCAAGTAGTTTTATATAAAAAAATATTAAAATTATTATTTTCTTACAAGTTTTTGAAAATAGCTTTTCATGTAAACTATTCAGTAATATCAAGGGACACAAGTAACGGATCAGCTGTGCTGAGTTCACAATGTACGCAACTTACACCGGGCTTTGCGTACAGGAATTCAAGCGGCTTTCGATAAATTTACACACACATATCTCTGTACTCGATTAACAGACAAAGTTTTAAAATAGTACCGTTGTAAATCGGACATTGC